CATGTGTTTACTATATTATATTAAATCATGTGTAAATCACGCATTTATTTTATTGGTTAATAATCACTGGTGTTAAATACCACTGGTGTAATTTAGCAATGTCGTAATAGATCATTTAATATTTATTGTGACTATAAGTTTTTTTTAAAAATCAAGAATTGCAACGATATTAAAGGTATAATAACAATTTTAAAGAGTGTTAGTTTTTATTTATTTATTTATTTAATTTACTTTATTAATCCATATTATTTAGCTAACGGATAAATTGATGAACTTATTTCGATATAATATCCATTTCAAGTCTTGGCGACTCTTGAAGTACCATAATTTGTTGACCAAAGTACCCCCTAGGGCAAAATACCCTCCCATGAAATGTACCCGAGTATATTTTACAGGTTAGCATTTTGGTGGGACATATTGTACCCGGGGAGATTGGGACAATTATTTATTACAGGGTTATATATATTAAGATCACATGATTAAATATGTAAACGGAAAAATATTTGTAATTAGAGATAAAATAAAAAATTATAGAAACATAATTAATCTCTGCAGTTGTTTTAGTAAAAAAATTAGGACATTTTTTAAAGTGTTGAATTATTCGATTTTTCTTATTTGGAAATCAATTTTTTTTCAAGTACTTCAATACAAGGTTTACAAAAATTGGTTTTATTAATTTTATCATTGGATCTAATAATATATTGGATTATTAAAAGATGAAGTGGATATTTCTTTAACAAAAAAATAAAATTTTTTTAATGAAATATCTAGTCATGTGAAATGTCCTGGGACATGTCCCGTGTACAACTAAATTTTGGGACAATTTTGAGACATGGGACATGTCATGTGTACATCACTGCCCCGGGATATACACCATGTATAGTACTCGGGTATATTACTTTAACTGTCACTATTGTTACATCGCCCCTATTTTTAATGCTATAAATATTTTACGCGTCTATGATTTTATCTTTTTTGTAATTACAAAATCCGCAATGGTCACAAAAGAAACGGCGACAATGGAACGTACGGGAAAACTAATGGTAATACACTATCTGGAATTTAATAGAAATAATAAACGTGGAACTGCTAAAAGATTTAATATTCAACCAAAACAAGTACGCGACTGGTATAATAATAAGGAAAAATTATTGTAAACCGCGCCACACGTTGCTAAAATTCATATAGGCAAACCTGCCAAATATATAAATTTAGAAAATGATTTATTTGCATGGGTTTCTGAAAGAAGAGCCAATCAAAATCCTGTCACTAGAAAAATGATGACAAAAAAAGCAACTGAATTATCTAGAAATAAAGAATTTTTGAAAAATCATCCAAACGTTATTAAATTCAAATTTTCAAGTAGATGGCTTGATGGATTTTTATCAAGATATGATCTTAGTAACCGCCGTAGAACAACTGTAGCACAACATTTACCATCTGATTTGATTGAAAAACAAAATGTTTTTTTAAGTTACATATTATATAGACGAATTCAATTTGATTATCCGTTAAAATATATTGGTAACATGGACGAAACACCAATGTGGTTTGATTTACCAAGTAATACTACTATTGATCACAAGGGCACAAAAACAGTTAATATTCGTACAACAGGACATGAGCGTTCATCTTTTACTGTTGTTCTTACATGTATGGCTGATAGAAGTAAACTTCCAGCAGTTTGCATTTTTAAATTAAAAAAAATTACCAAGAGAAGAATTTCCACATGGAATTTATATACGAGTTAATGAAAAAGGATGGATGAATGAAGAAGAAATGCTTTGGTGGATCGAAAATGTATGGGTCTCAAGAAATCCTTTTAATAATACACGTTCTATGTTGGTATTGGATTCTTTTCGTGGACATATTGAAGATTCTGTCAAAAATCGATTGGCAGAAAAAAACACTAATATTGCTGTAATTCCGGGTGGTTGCACATCCAAATTACAACCATTAGATGTTGCAATTAATAAAGTTTTAAATCAAAGGTATTGTTAATATTAATTAAAATATTTTTTATTTATAATATTTATTAATAATTAATTATAAATAATTTAGGTAAGAGAACGATACAATGAATGGATGTCATCTTCTATTAAAATTCTTACTCCAGCCGGACGAATTAAAAAACCTTCTTATTCAACGGTAGCAACTTGGATTAAGGAATCATGGGATGAAGTTGATATTAACCTTATTCAAAAATCTTTTAAATGTTGCGGAATTTCAACTAAAACTGATGGTTCAGAAGATCAATATATATTTGATTATGATAAGGTATTTGACGAAATAAATAATAATGACAATATTGATAATGATATTGATAATGAAGTTGTAGAAAATTTAAATGACTTAAATTTAAGCGATGATGAATATTCTGATAATAATAATTATATTAATGATTGGGATATTGGGGATGAAGAAGAGAATAATATTAATGAAGATAATGAAAATAATAATGATAGCGATAATAATAATAATGATAATTATGATGATAATAATGATATTATAGTTTTATAATAATTTGTATTACATAAAATTTTATTAATAATTTTGTATTACATAAAATTTAAATAATAAATATAATATCCCGGGTACTTTAAAAAACTTCTAAAATTTTTAAAGGGGGTACTTTGGCCCGAAAACTACGGTATCTTGCTAAAATTTAATATTAAATATTTAGATAAATGGTGATGAAGAGAATTTAGTATATAAAATATTGAATTAAAATTATTAATTTAAAAAAATAAAAATATGCACGTACAATGAATCTAATAATGAATAAAATAAATTTTTTAGTTTTGGAATTGCGAGCTTGAATTCGAAGGACCAGCAACTCTACGTTCTTAATCAACTAAAATAAAATAAAAATAAAAAATAAATTATGCAAATATATAATGATAATAATTTATAAATAAAAAAATAATTATTATTAATTACCACATGATTTATTTGAATTATCAGCTTTAATACTTTTAAGATACGTTGTTGCATTTCTATAATTACGTTAAATTTCTGAAATAAATATCATATAAATTCATTCATTAAGCAAATAAAAATAATTTTACCTTCAGAAATTACCAAATCAAGTTGACCAGAATCAAATGCTAAATGTAAAAACATGTATATTATTATTTTAATATGGATTAAAATAAAGATTTCATTAGGCATTTAAGTTGCGTGAACATTTACCTTGTTGTTCTTCTATAAAGATGAAAAAATTAATAATAAAAAAAAATTAATAAATAAAATCAATAAAAAAAAGGATAAAATTTGTAAAATATATTTACCATCAGTGGCATTCTTAGGTTTAAAAGGAAAAGTCAATGTATGTACTTTACTAGTTTGAATTTTATAAACTTTTCTTTTAATTACGTCGGGTTGAATATCTTCAATTACTTGCTTATCCTCATTCTTTCTAAAACTCGATTTAAAGAAATTTTTGATTTTTGATTTGAAACTTTTGTTTTCGTTGGATTGAGTATCTTTAATTACTTGCTTATCCTTATTTTTGTAGAACTTGATTTAAAGAAATTTTTTATTTTTAATTTGAAACTTTTAGATTGAATAGACGGTTCTTCCATTTCTTCATATAATGACTTTATTATTAATTTCATTTTTTCATTAAGCGTAATTGAATTAGGTCTATTATCAGGAGTAGCATCCCAACATTGTTTCATTAAAGTTTCATATTCTAGTGGAATATTTTCATGGATCTTTGGTCGATATCCTAAGGCTATAGCAAAAGCTAAATCTGAATCATGTTCATGGTCACCATAGGGAGTTTCCCAGTTATTACTTCCCACATTAAAATACCAATACTATATATATCTGATTTTTTCGTATAAATTTGTCCACAATAAACTTCAGGTGCAATATATGGGAGATTCCCATATATACTATTTAATGGTTTGTCAACTGGTCCACTCAATCCCAAATCACTAATAAACCATTTTGAAGTATGTGCATCATATAAAATATTTCCTGAGTGCAAATCTTTATGAATTACATTTTGACTATGAATTTTATTTAAGCAACGTGTTATCTCATAAATAATTTTATATTTTTTTAATAATTTAAGTGTATGATAATTATCTTTTATAAAATGTCTTAAATCATTATCATAATAATCCAAAACCAACATATAATCATTGGTGCTTAGATCTTTAGTTAATCCACGACATGCAGCAAGTAATTGAAAAGTATTATCAAGTGTAAAATTTAAAGTTACCTAATAATCATATTTAATTATATAATTAATATTTCAGAAAATTAAATAGAAATTTACAATATAATAATAATAATTAAACTTACTTCTTGAAACCAATGTATATTATTGTTATTTGAATTATTTAATCTTTTAAGAATAACCTTTCGTCTTCCAAATCTTTCTAATATTTGTTTTTCCGAATTCCATTTATAATAGCGTCCAACTTTCCATATTGCTGTATAAATAGTAGCACATCCTCCTTCCGTTAAATAATCTATATTCTCAAATTGATCATAATCAATCCATTCAATGACATGTTGGGGTGAAACAGTTTTTTGTTGACATTCTTGAATTAATTTGTCAATTTCTTCATTTCCAGATCTCCAATTTCTAAAATTATTTTCTAAATATTTACGTATACAAAATTCACAGTATTGAGTTGCTTGATGCCAATTCTGACAATAGTTACATTGTTGTTTTTCTGCTGAATTATCAACAATTCTTAATTTATCATATACTTTCTGCAAATTCATCTAGTAAAAATTTCTTTTCATTTTCTGTAAGAGATGAATCATTTCTAATCATATTTTTTCGATATTCTTCTTGTTGACTAATGGTTTTATAAATATTGAAGTCTAGAGATATGTGACTTTTATCCCAAAAATTTATTAGTTTCTCATTCCAAACAATTTTTTGAATAGCCATTTCCTATCTAATATAATTTAAGGAATAAATAAATAATTAATATGTAATCTAAAGATATAACAGATAATATAAAATTACTGTGGGTTAATTATTTAATATTAATAATAAATAGTAGGTAAATTAAGTATGAGGTTATGGTTTTGTGCGAAATAGAAAAAAAAATAAATAGAGGGACGCAGAAGAGATAAAGTTAGTTTGTTTTTTTAATCGCAGGTTGATGGTAAAATATAAAAATATTATATTTTTCTGCTTATAATATATTTACGGAATAAAATTAAATTATTTCCAGAGAATTATCTCATTACCTTATTGCTTTATTAAATGCAATCGCAACATATTTTTTCCTTTTTCAGAGTTCAAAATAAATATTGTCACGGTCTGTGCAGAACGATAGGTAAATCAGTCTCAAATTTATTACACAATATTCTTTATCCCCCAGATGTAGCGAGAACAGGCAATCAGTTGATCTAAATCTGCTTACTAACAATCACAAACAATGTAATTATGTGTAAAACCAGAAGGCACGATGAGTATCTTTTACTGACTGCTTTGCACACTACCAAAACTGGTGTAGACTTTCGATGTAACTTTGCCAAGAAATAAAAGAAATAGTTTATTAAATTTTATATAAGTTTAATATTGGAATATGACAATAGCGATATATTACTGCTTTGGGGTATCTTATCACTTTGTTATTATTATTAGAATTATTACAAATATAAAGAAAGAAAAAAAATTGTCCTATTTTATTGTTAAGGCCCAAAAGGAATCCCTTCTCTTTTCTTCCCAACGCAGTTGTACTATATCTTTTCCTTATTTACCTTCATCCATCATCATCCATGAATACGGGGATGAATAAACAATTATCTTGGATGACGGATAATGCAAAGATAATAGTGTCACGTCTGGACAGCACAGAATTACACAACAAATCAAGTTCCTAGTCTCAATAATAGCTTATACTTCTTCGTGTATCGCTATACAGTGTAACAACTTAAATAACAACTACAAAATCGTGAGTATAATCTGAAAGGTGTGTGAGTAAGTGAAGCAGAGGTAATTTTCCCTACGTATACTATCGGTGTTAGAACAGATTTTTAAGAGATAAAACGTTTATTTATGATTGAACAGTAAAAGAAAATTTTATTAGAAGTTGGGCAACAAAATATTACAACGGCGTGTTTCTATTCTGTCACTA